CCTGCTCCCAGATACCACCACGTGCCACCTGCTACCTGGGCTGCGTTCATCTTCAGCATTCTCCTCCAAGCCTCCAGGTCAATCTGGGCCTTTGCCTGGAAGGCTACCGAGGGGATGTTGCCCCAACTCCTGCTCACCAGCCCTTTGGCCCACCTAACCCTAGTCATTCTAGAACCACCACTGCTTGGTTCTTCCTACCTCCTGTTAGGGAGTATGGGCACCCTGGGCAGCCTAAAGATGGTACACATTGTGACCTTGCTCCCACCCCTCCCACTTTCCCTCCACTGGCAGCTCTTGGTGCCCTCACCCTTTCACAGCACCCAGGGTACCATGTTGTGGCCCAACTTTGCAGCATGGTCTTCCCTCAGCACGTGGAACATCCTTGAGGGCCTGGCAGCAAGTACTGGCTCAACTGCCTGTGATCCAGACATGCCAGACCTGCACTTTCCCTCACTAAGGTTGGCTGGATGCAGCCAGGCTCCCTCTGCCTAGTCGGCTTGGAGGATTCCACCCAGGAAGGGGGGCGGGGGTTGTTGCTGGGAGCTCAAGGCTTGTGTCCATGTGGACTGGGCTTGCCTGGGCCGGTGTGGCAAATGTCAGAGTTCCTCCAAGCTCTCAAGCAGGAAGAAAGTCAGGGCTGGTGAACTGAGGGTGCCTTGTGATTCGTAGACCATCCTGCCTAGGGGTTCCCAGGCCCTTAGAACCAGAACCATCTGCTTGCTCAATTTCTTGATTCAGCTCCACTGGGCTCAACTCTGCTGTGTGTGCCTGAAGTAAGGACAAGGTTGCTGTCTTTGTGGTCCTCGTGGCTGGAGAGATAACCAGGCCCTCCCAGTTTTAACTTTACAGGAACAAAGACCCACACTGGCAGAGTATTCTGGAAGTTCAGGGAGGGGGAGGAGAGATCACTATGGGGGGAGGGGGAGCTGTTGGTTATCAGGGAAGGCAGGCTGGAGGAGGTGGTACTTTGGAAGGATGGGCCGAGAGTACCCAGGATGGGGACAGTGATATGGAGCTCCTTGGAGAGGATTGGGGTGCTCTAACTCATTTCTACCATTTACAGGTGAGTGGTTTCTGGTCTGCAAGGGCAACATGATAGCTGCCCGGTGACAGGGAGATATGAAAGTGGAAGGAGGTGGTGGGAGCTGCTAGGATTGCTGAGGAGGTTTCTGGTAGAGGGGGCACTCGCATGTTGGTGTGTGTGGAGAGGAGGGGGTGTCAGCAGCCAGTGTGAGGCACTCAGGCCTGCTGATAGGAGCCCTGACCTGTTCCCTCAGAAGGCATAGTCCCCAACTGCACCCCCACCCTGTGGACAGTGGATCCCCTCTAGCAGGAGTCAAGAGCAGGCCCATGTCTGCTCTCCAAGAACAGCCTGCAGCCTCCCCTGGTGGGTGCATGGCCCGAAGAGCACTCTGCCAAGGCCGCTTCATCCGAAGCTGGTGGGCCTTGGCCTCTGCCAGAGCCCAGCAGCCTGGGTCTAACGCTTTCCCTGGTCTGGTTTGGGGCCCCCAGCTCCATGAGGTCAGGGAACATGTATTCCAGGAATGCAGGAGGCGGGGAAGCCGGCTGGTTTGGATGAGGCTTGGATAACCATCAGGGGTAAATATTTGCCTTGCTCCTGGAGCCAGCGCTGGCCGCCAGAGGACGGGGCCTATCCACAGGGGCACTTAAGGGGATGCAGCCCCACACAGGTCTCAGGGGTGGAAAAACCTCTGCCAGCCCAGAAGAGTCCATGTGGGAGCCAGAAAGGGTCCCCTGGACCCTGGCCACCAGACCAGCAGCTGCAATCTGTGAAGTGAGGATAAGAACAGCTCCTGGGTCTGACTCAAGCCCTAGCACTCACTGTGACAAGGGGAGTAGTCCTGGTCAACTCAGCCAGGACAGCCACTGGTGCGAGTGAAAGCCATGTGGCTGTGCTTCTGGACCCCATTTGGCCACTATGATCTTGAGCCTCCTCTGCGATCCACCTGTCACTGAGGAGTTAAATTCTCCTTCCATTTCACCTGCTTTGACATCTGTGTCTCCTGGAGTCCCCAGATCCCCCAGGACGTGTGTGTATCTTTGTGTGTATGTGTGTGTGTGTCCAGCTGACACCGGGGGAAAGGGTTTGGGACATAAGAGCCACAGGTTCTACTGGCATGACCCCGGCCACTGAACAGCCATGGCTGTCCCCTTCCCGGTGGTCTGTGGGTCAGTCTATGCACCTCACCCCAACCCAACAATGTCCCCCTCTACCAAGCGAGTTGGGAGCCTGGCCCAGTTCCTATATGGGGAAGAGCTGGGAGCTCAGCAGAGTCAAGTGCCTCGTCCAAGGTCATCCAGCAATAAGCAGCCAAGCAGGGGTGTAAACCCAGCTTGGCCAGGGATCCAGCCAGAATTTAGACCCCACCTCCACTGCTGTGTAGGGCAGCTGGTCCCTTAGCTGCAGGCCAAGTGCCACAGCCCACAGCCATCACAGCACTCTTGTCCTGGACACCCTCTGTCTCAGGCACCTCTGCCCTCCTCAAGTTCCGATCTACCTGGTACCTCTACGGGGCCAGAACTAACCCCAGCTCATTTTGGCCAGGTCCCCCGTCCCTCTCCAGGGATCCTTGGAGAATTGGAGAGGGAAAGGAAGGTGAGCGTGATTGGGGCCAGCGGCCTCCCACAGAGCCTAGTTGACCCCCATTTCCTCCGCAGCACACAGTGAGTTCCAGCTTGCAGTCGACACAACTCTGAGTCCCCAGGCTCGCCCCCGAAGTCAGTCCTGAGCCTAAGATATCCCAACTTGGTTGAGGAGTTTGAATATAAGGTGCCTGTCATGGGGAGACCAAATTAAGCCTCTGCCAGCCCCAAGGCTCAGATTGTATCCTGTCCACATCCTTGGAGTGTTCCAGGAGGAGAACAGGACCCCCAAGCCCACGTTGTTTACCCTGTGGTCTGCTCAGGCAGGGAGCCGCACCGAGCCATCTCCTGCTCGTTCTCCCTGGTCTCGCCGGGTGGCCCGGCCCACACAGGTTGTGAGCCCTGGCTGAATGCATGAGGTGGGGTGCATGCTACTGCCTCTGTGTGCACAGCCTTACCCGGGTTTCTCGTGCCACAGGCTGGGCAGAGTGTGGTAGGCACAGAGTGTGCACACACAGAGCCCAAGGGTGGTCCCTCCAGCTGTGTGACCTGAGCAGTTAGAAACCTTCTCCAGCCTTGTGTAGGAGGGGGAAGCTCATTTCTGCCACCTGCATTTCACTGAAGGTTAAGAAATAGACCCCACTGTCTTTCCTGGGTGACCTCAGGTGGCCAGGCAGGGCCTGTATTGCAGTCCTAGAGGCCCCTCGGGTTGCTGTGTGACCTGCACAGGTCCCTCTCTCTGATCTCACCTGGTCCCTTTGCACGGGGCCTGGATGGCCAAGGCTGATAAGAGACAAATGCTGAGCACCATGAGCTAGTGCCTTGAGAGGCAGGATGCGCCAGTGGCATTCCTGGGACCAGGGGATTGACGGGCAGCCTGGGCAACACTCATCCAGAGAGCGAGGACTTTCCGGCTCTGGCTTCCGTCTGAGCTGCCAAAATAATTATTTTTCTCTTTACAAGCTGCTTTGCTGGTCAACTTGTCTCCAGAAGGATAGACCTGGGCCGTGGGTGATGGGAGGCACAGGGCCGATCCAGTTATGTCCCAGCTGCTGTCTTGCTGCACTGACAAGGCCATATGCTGTCCCTCTGCGCTTCAGTTTCCTATTCTGTGAAATGGGAGAACTGGGCTCACTGGGCTGTGTTGTCAAGGTGAACAGTTTGGCAGGGGGATGGGCGGCACACAAGTCAAAGGGGAAGGAGGTAGGGCTAGATTCTGCAGGGATGGAGTTGTAGGGACATTGGGCCAGACACTGGGAGCCCCAGGACATGGGGGCCTGGAGTCCAGTGGTAGCCCCTGTGAGATGCTGCAGGCCTGGCATGCTGTGGATATCCACAACATGTATGAACCTTCAAGGAGACTCCCTCCTTGTTTCTCTGTCCCACCCTGCCATTAGGGCAACTGAGGCAGAGAGGGGCTTCAGAAATGTGTCTGAAGCACACCGTTTAGAAAGAGGTGAAGCCTGTTTGAGATGGACCAGGCTTGTGGCTGAACCCATATCCACATGCCAGGCCTCCATGTTTCTGGCTGAAACCATGGGCACCTGGTACTCCCTGGGAACTCCTGCTGGCTATACACTGAACTGGGACTAGGGCTTGGGCCTCTGCCTGCCCTTTTGTTCCCCGATGGCCTCCCCGTCTCCTTCTGTCCCTTCCATCCGTCCCCACCCCCCAGCAGCCATGGGGCTCTCCCAATCTACAACCTGGGCTGTGACCCTGAGCTGCCCAGATGCTCCTGTGGCTTATGTCTAGGTCCATCCTCTCCATGATGGGCTCTGCCCGCTAGCTCCTCCCACACCCTGCTGCCTTGCCATTTCTTCTGCCATGCAACTCATTCAGAAATCCTTCCACAAGGGGCTAGGGCAGGCTTTTTTCCCCTTGCTTTGAGGTTTCCACATGTACTGTTTACCTAAAATGCTTTCCCTACATCCTGGCCCATCTCTCTTGGGTTCATCCTTTACTTCCCCTGAGGGGGCAAGTAAGAAATTAAAGTCTGAACATCGGGGGCGGTTCCACTTTTAATTGTATGTGTTGGAGTCTGTGCTGGTTGAGGCCCCGCCAGTGTAGAGACCTCTCCCTGTCACAGCCTGAGATGCCCATTGTTTGTTGAATGAAAGAGTGAGGGCCAAGAGTGCCTATGCCTGTGCCTCCTGCCATCCTGCCCACAACTTTGAAAAAGCTGCAGATCCAATTTTGACACCTGTGGCAGCTGAAACCCCCGAGAGCCCGAAGCTTAGCAGGGGTCGCACAGTCAGTCATTAGTGGACCCCGTTAGACTTCTCACCCGTCACACCCTCTCGCAGGTGATGGCTTTTTCTGGCTGCCCGCTTTCCTGTGGGCGGCAGGCTCAGGATCACGGTTCTTGCAGGAGGCTGACCACCTGCTTGTCTTTGTAGGAGGATGGAGCTGGAGTGAGGTGACTGGGCCGCAACCTGCTGACCGGCACATTGCTGGGGCACTGCTGACTGGTGGATCACTGAGGTAGGAGGGCAGCTGGGCTGTTGAGGGTAGAGATAGGACAAGTGCATCCTGATGGGGAAATGGGATGCTGGCCTGCCCTAGGTCTTGGACTTGACCTTGGCCCTCATGAGTACGGGTGGATGCAGGCCACCTGTGCTGGCACCTCACTGTGCCCTGTACAAGTCTCTCCTCTATTCAGCATCCCGGGGCCTTTCTAGGGAGGCTGCTAGAGCCAGGGCGAGGGGCAGGCCTGGCCTCCTTGCGGGCAGCTGTGCAGGGACAGGACATAGCCTGGGTGCATAGAGGGGTGTGATCGCTGCTGGGAAATGCCCAGCCCTTCTCTTGCATGAGCATGCAAGTGGGCGCACCCTGGGATCCTCCAGGGTCGCACTGGGTGGGCAGAAACCCTGAGTCTGCCTCTGTGCCTCAGTTTATTCATCTGTCCAATGGGGAAGGGTTGGTAAAGTCTGGTCCCAGTGCTGCAGTGAGGGAACTGGGCAGCCAGCCCACAACAGACACCTGGAGTTTATCAGCTGCCTCCTCCAAGCACCCCCCTCCCACCCTCTTTCTACTGGCTGGGATGAGTATGTACTGGTCATCTGCCCAACTGGTCCCCCAGGGGCATTGAGCTGCTCAGGGAGCCTCCAGAGGCAGCTGTGGCATGGGGCCCAGAGCCGGGGGCATGTGTTACGCGTGCTGATAACAGCAGCATGTGTTATCACTCCCATGCCTCTCCAAGGTTTCCACACACTTGGCCTTGGGCCAGAGGGTGACCTGGGCAATCTCCACAGCTCAATCCAGAGACCACAGAAATGCTCGTGAAAGATGGGGAGGCCTCATCTATTGCCCTTAGCTTCTCTCCTGGGGCTCCCTGCGGGGGAGGGCGGCAGGACAGGGCTGGGTAAGCTGCAAGGGCCGGCCCTGAGACCAGGGAACCCAGCGGGAGCTTCCTTCCTGTTACAGGAAATCCCGACTCCTGCTTATCACCCATGTGACCTTGGGCCAGTCCCTGTACCTGGTGTAGTTGTTTTGTTCCCTGCCAGCCAGGATGATTTCCAATGTTGCCAGCAGTGCAGGCTGAGGATTCTTAGAAGCCATGAGCGCTTTTAAGTGCTGTGGCTTTGTGCAGCTGCTGCACGCGGGCGCCATGCTCCTTAAATACATATTTCTGCCCGCACGAGTCCCCCAAGGAGGTCTGTTTAATGCCTGAGTCTCCAGAGACCCTGCGTGCTTAAGAAACCCTTAGAGCTCTAAGTGGTGCAGTGGGGATTTGAACTGAGGCCTGTGGGAAGCCTCAGCAGTGCTCAGTGCCATGGGGAGCCAAGCTGGGGCTGCCAGGGCAAGGTGCTTGGGAAACTGCTCACAGTTTCTGCCGTGGGCTGAGGCTGGGGATCCCTCTGCTAATTGTCACGTAACCTTTGCAATTCTCCTTCACGGTGGGTTCTCTTTCCGGATGTTTTTCAAGGTAATTCATTCCCTTTCCAGAAATTGCCAGTGGCGGAGCACTGGGCAGCTGGTCATTAATCATGGGAGCAGCTTCTAGTTTGTTCTTTTTAAGAAGCGAGGAACAGAAAGCCGTGGTGCAAACAGAAAAGGAAAGACACTCACTCCCGGGTCAGGCAGAATCAATACCTCCAGGTTCTGGGGATGGTGACGGTTAGAAGCGGGGGAGTAGGGAGGAGATGGGATGAACGGCACATGCACAGCCCTCCCCCTTCCTCCCTGGGCCTGCCAGGCTATCCATCTGCACCTGCAACCTCAGCCTGAACTCTCCTCTTGACCGTTAGCTGCCTCTAACTTGGAGATCTCTTCTGTGTTTCTCTCTGGACTCAGTTTTGCCACCTGTGCAATGGGTGAAGGGCAGGCATTTGAACCAAAAAGAATTTCATGATTTTTTTTTTCCTCCATCACCTATACATCCCACTGAGAAAGGGAGCAGTTATCTGGGGGTCCTAGTGAGAGAAGAGGGATTCCTGGCTATACTGCATTGTTGCTGCAGCTGTTAACGTGGAATGGGCAGCCAGGGTGGTCGGGCCAGCTCTGTCACTTTCCAGATCGGTAAGGACAGCACAATCTTGCCTAGTGGACTCTGGCAGTGAACTCTTGGGTTGAGTTACACAGGCCAGTCCAGCAGCAGGTGCAGGGGATGGAGTCTGAAGCATCCCAGAGTCATGAGGCCCTCCAGGGTGGTCCCCCAGAAGGTTGGGCAGACCAGGTTGGAGGTGGAGGGGCTGTTCCCTTGGGAGTCCCTTTCCAGAGACCTTTCTTCTAGCCTGGCAGTGCATGGAGCAGGCGTGGAGAAAGATTCAAGCTGGGTGAGGAGAGCTCCTTCAGGGTCCCAGGCTTCAGCCTGATCTATAGGTCACACTGGGGTGGCAGTGACAGCAACCCCCTTTCCTAGGATGTGGACCAGGGTCTTCAGCAGAAGACAGCAGATGGGGAGCACATTCTGTAAGGCCCCCTCCCCTGCTCAAGGGAGCACCATGCGGGAGTCAGAGAAAGGCCCGATGCAGCCCAGCTTCCCCGGTCCCTGCTGTTCCCTCCCTTGGTGTGTCTCTGGACCCTCTTGCAGTGTGTATCTGTGTGTGAGTGCGTATGTGTATGTGTGCACGTGAGTGTGTGTGCATGCAGTGGCTCTCCCCTCTCTGTGTGTCTGTCTCTCTGCGGTTCTCTCCTCTCCAGTACTCTCTTCCTCTCCCATGGGCCCCAGGCAGCCTCACTTCCACCTGCCCTTTGGGAGTATACAAGGAAGCACCCCACAGTGGCAATCCTGGTGATGGGCCATGTAGCCATCAACCCTGCCCATCCCTAGGGCCAGCATGGCCCATGGGGGCTTCTGGCTCCCGTGTGAGGAAGGCAGGAGAGGACGCCTGCACCGCTCCTTCCGGGGGCAGCTGGAAACCTGGCGCTCTTTGGAAGAGTTAATGAAACCCCTGCTGCAATTAAAAGTGAGGTGTGGGGCCCGGCACGGTAACCTAGCAGCTAAAGTCCTCGCCTTGCATGCGCCACGATCCCTTATGGGCGCCAGTTCTAATCCCAGAGGCCCCACTTCCCATCCAGCTCCCTGCTTGTGGCCTGGGAGAGCAGTTAGGGATGGCCCAAATCTTAGGGACTCTGCATCCACGTGGGAGACCCAGAAGAGACTCTGGGTTCCTGGTTTTGGCTCAGCGCAGCTCTAGCCATTGTAGTCAGTAGCTCAAGAGGTGGGTCTGAGACCCCGGCATTCACCTGGATGCCCCCTCCCTCCCCAGGATTATGCCCTCCTTCAGCCCCATCCCTGGCCAGCCTGTCTTCCTGGAAGGGCCTGCTGCATGCCCAGCCGACCTAGCCTGGCATGTGGAGTGGCCGCTCTCTGACCACAGCCACGCCACTTACCGGCATCTTCTGCCTGTACCCTAGGCCTCCCGCTTTCCTGCCCTTCCACCTCTGCACCTTAACCACCTGTAGGTCCCATCTCTGTTGTCGTATGGCTTGACCCCTCTGCAACCATCCTGAACCTGGGCTTCCTTGAAGAATCTCGGACATTGATCTGTATCTGTCTACACCCACCCTGCACCCCCTGGACCCCTACACTTGATCTTAGCCAAAGGCCAAGAAGCGATGACTCCCTGGACTCCTAAGCATTGTCCTCCACACCAAACATCTGTCCTTAACTCTACACCTTTAACCCCCAAGCACTTGTTAGAGCACCTGCCATGTTTTGTGCTTCCAATGGACTATGCATTGGATGGATGCTATGTGCAGAGCACACCTCTCCCCTCTGGGTGCTATGGCAAGGTTGAAATTGGGCACAGTTTTCACATGCACCTTGTATGGTGTTGCCTGCCTGTCTAGTGGGCCACGTGGATTTGTGGGCTCCTAAAGGCCATGGCAAGGAGTCTTCCTACCCCCTGGACACCCAAGGCCACTGTCATGGACGGTGCTTCCTGTGGGCAAGTCCTCTCCCGGCCCTCCCATCTTTATGTTTGGCCTCGAGGGACTGAGCCTTCACCCTTCTCAGGAAAAAACACCTCTTGAGAACCCCCCAACACGTGTCTCCTGCTGGAAGGAGGACCCCCTATTCTGGGCCTGCCGCCCACTCCCTGTTAGCAGTAGGTGTCTCAAGGCTAGCCCTAAGGAGCTTCTACCATCGTCACGGCCACCATTACCCCCAGCCCTATCCCTCTCTGATTGATTCATAGCCCCCTCCAACTGCACTGGGCCACGAGCTCCATTTCTACCAGCTTCCTCTGTTTGCCTCCGTTCAGACAGCATGGCAGGGAATCAAGGAAGGTTCCAGGGCTGGGCTGCCCTCCTTTCATGGGTTCCTTAGCACACAGAGACTAGGACCACAATCCAGGGAGGAGCTTTCTCCTGGAATCTGCAGGGCCTGAAACGCTGAGTTGGAAGCCCTCAGCCCAGTGAAGTGTGCTCTTCTTTCTCAGCCCCACACACCCTCGGCCATTGCTTGTCCTGCCCCTGTAAGCCAGTGTCCACCATACTGCAGCTGGATACGACTCAACTCCTTGCAGGCCCAGGGCAAGCTTGAAGCCACATCCCAGGGCACACATCCCAGCCTAGAGGCCTGAGGAGTGCAGAAAGCCATAGGCACCCAGCCTGCATGTCTTCCACTTCCTCCAGGGAGGGCAGCAACGTTTGGTCTCATCTTCTACTTCCTGTGCTTGGTAGACTGGGCTAAGAAGGCTTCTGAGGCAGCATCATGTGCAACATGGCTCATTCTCACCTTTTCAGCCTCTGTTCTTAGAGTGTCTGGTCAGTTTGGCAGGTCTGTCAGTTCTGGTAGAAATGGCCAGGGCTTCCCAGCCGCCTTCAGTTCTGCTCCAGGAGGCAGCGTGCATCTCCCTTGCAGGACCCTCCCCCACCTCCAGTGCCTCTTATCTTTGGGGGTTGCCTGGGGGAGCCGTGGGAACATCTCTGCTCCTTACCCTCTGTGGAATGTTCCCATGGTGCCACCTCCATCTGCCCCCAACACCTCGGCCAGCAGGATGATCTATCTTAGATGGCTTTCCCTAGGTGGCCCC